ATTCAAAGTTTTTCAATTAATTGGAGAAGGATTTCCAATAAGTTCTTGTTCTAGATTTCTGTTTTCTGTTTATCGAGATCTGGTACCAATAACTTCAATTGGTATCGGAGCTGAGTTCGAAGGGCCTGAAACTCTCCTGATCCAAAAGGGCTGGATCAATTACCAGATCCGAAGACAGGGCAGAAGTACAAGCGTCGATGTAAGAACAATACGATGACTGATGCCAACAACCAGGTTGCGGTAATCAAGGATAACAACAAGCTTCCATTCCAGTGTTCGATCCTAACCGCGACTAATTATCCCATCTGGTCGCTTAGGATCAAAGCAATTTTCAAGGCGTACGAAATCTGGGAATCGATTGATCCTGGAATAGATGTCGATCGGAAAAAGGATATTTCCGCTATCGCATATTTGTACCAGGCGTTGCCAGAGGATTTGATTCTTCAAATCGCAGATTGCACCCACGCAAAGGAAATCTGGGATGCAATTAAGACTCGTCAACTTGGAGTTGAACGAGTAATGGAGGCTAGACTTCAGACTCTTAAAGCTGAGTTTGAAGCAGCAAGGATGAAAGACAGCGAAAAAATTGATGATTTTGCTGCAAAACTTTCTGGAATTGCCTCAAAATCAGCAACACTTGGAACCGTCATCGAGGAAACCACATTGGTCAGAAAAATATTGACTGCCATACCAGAAAGATTCTTAAATATGGCAGCCACTATTGAACAACTGGTTGATCTCAAAACAGTGAAATTCCAGGAGGTTGTGGGTAGGCTGAAGGCATATGAAGAACGAACCGGTGCAAAGACAGCCAATAACAGCCAAGATCAACTTCTGCTGTCCTATGAAGAATGGGACTCAAGAAAGAAGAAAGAAAAAGGTTTTGGTCGAGGTCGAGGGAATGGCCGAGACACCCGTGGAAGAGGTCGAGGTCGTGGGCGTTTTGGTAGTCGAGGAGGAGGTCCGGGTCGCAGACAGAATTCTCCAGATGGGAGACAACAAGCTGAAAATTCAACCAAAGATCGCTCCAAACTGCAGTGTTTTAGGTGTGATGCTTTTGGACACTTTTCGGCTGACTGTCCAA